GTAGTTCAAGGTCAAAGCGCAGCTCGAAATAGGTTGAGAAAGGCTACTAAAACAAGTAATAAATATTAGCATCCTTCATAAAAACTCGTTTAGTACATTGCAGATCACCGTGAAAAACAGTGGTAGTGAATCCGAATAGAATACAAAGCGCTGTTTTACACATATACCAGCTTTTGATAAACAAAGCCCCTAGTGTTTCGGGATTGCAAGAGAAAGAATTTTCCAATATGCTAATATTTGTTTCAGTTTCATATGTCAATGTTTTTAACAATAAAAATTATTAAAAATTACGAATAATTAAAAAATGCGATGTTCTTTTCCGGTTATTTCTTCCATCTTCCGACGCTAGCAAATATTGTTATGAATTTTATAAGTAATGGTTTCTATAAAATAAGCACGAATTAGTGGCAACGATTTCTGATTCGGAGTTGGCAACAGTATGTCATTACGTTATTAATGGCGGAAAGGAAGTAATTATATATCAATTATAGCCATTAAGCAATTTAAAATTTAAAAAAAAAATATGTATTTGAAAGAGATTTGTCTGAAAACAAAATATTTGTATTTGAAATCAAACATCTTATGCAAGAAAACAAAGAAAAGAACGCAATACTTTTTTTTGCTAAGGAATAGAATGAAAAATCTCTTGCGGCAGCTTTTAATGTAGTAGAAAAAATCTCATGCTTAGTGTATGTTTTTTCAAGTATATATTTTTTCATTTCACAACATTTTCAGTAATCTATATAAATTTTCACTAAATTATAATGGACAATTCACCACACTTTAAATTACCAAACTACTAGAATCGTGAAGACAGTCAGATGACTTATGATTCGTCTCACCTTCTAACTTCAAAAAACACCACTCAAATTGAAAGTTTAAAATAAACAGATTTGTTAGCACGTCAAATGCGCACACTAGTGACACAAAACTGAAATACATAACAGAAATCAAATCTTAGCAGCTTGTGGAGAATGCAGAACGAACAATCAAATCAACTAAAATGAGAAAAACAAATTTTCATGCAGATAAATAAACTCTGGCTCAAGTCTTAAGCATTTGCAAAGCAAATGCGACTCTCTAAAGATAAAGTTGATAGAACAGTTAAAGCAGCAAGAAGGCGTAAACAATAATAACAGGTCAAGAAAGCTGCAGGAAGCTCGTTCTGCACTTATATGTTTCAAGTAATTTGTATTTTGGTAAAAGCTGGCGAAAGAAGAAGAGAAAATAAAGGCAAACTAATAAAATAACTTGTTTAATAAGCATAAAACCATATAACACCCCCCGGAAACCTGCGGAATATTATAACCAAGGAACAGAGAGGAAACTTTAATTATATGATTTTTAACAATGCTTGTTTAAGTCGCATAGATGAATCGTAGAAAGGAAAAACGTGTCATAAAGTGTATATAATTATTACATTAATGATATCGCATATCATCATTTTCAAGCATAACATAAATACAATAATTTTACTAATTGTAATGCATCAAATGACATTTTATATTAATAAAACTGTATATAAAGCTAATTTAAATACTATCTATTCTCATTAGCATAGATGATTTTGCCATCAAGTATTTAGTTTGTACGTTGGAATTAGTTGGAAAAAATAATAAATAGCATTCTAAAAAAAATCCGACAGGTTTCAGATTTCAGTGGTCACCCAAAAGGATTTGTTAATGTTTTTTAGGTTCTCGCTGAGCTCGCAGTTTATAAAAGCAGCATATATTTGATTTCCCAACGCAGTGTTAAGTTATTGACATAAATGTTTTTCTACTTTTTTTTTTGTCTTTTTTCAGTTTAATCAAATGATTTCAGTTTTTCAGTTCAAACTGAACATTTTTTTTTTCAGTATAATGTTCAGTTTTCTTAATAAGTAGGTTTACAAACCTTTTTTTTTATTTTTTTTTATTATTATTATTAACGCTTTGTATATTAAATTTATTTATTAAATGTTATGTTCCTCGCACTTATTCCACATAAAATTCAATTCAACAGCAAAATCATAAAATATTTAAAAACAGTATGGCTTTACAGTTTCTGACAAACAGTTTTGCACGGAGATAAAAATATTTTATTCCGTACAGTGTTGCCGCTGCTCGTTTTAAAATCGTTGAGTTTGCTAATTACAAATTCATTAAAATTTTGCAAAATATGAAATAAATAGTAAAAAAAAAAAAAAAAAAAAAATCTTAAAGATTTTAAAATACGTCCAAAGAGGCGTTTTTTAAACGTTTTGTGTGTTACCTTTACTTATTATCATGGTCCGCACTTAACCCATAAAATTCAGTTCAACAGCAATGTCGCAAAATAATTTTAAAATGAACCTATCTTTAGAATTTCCCATACACAGTTCCGCGCACTGGAGATAAAAATGTTTTTTTCTTTCCTGTGGAGTGTTGCCATTGCTCGCTTTTAAACCGTTGAGTTTGTTAATCAGAAATTCGTTAAAGTTTTACAAAATATGAAACCAATAATAAAACAAATTCCAGATTTCAAATTTGGTCTTCCAGATGCCCATATTCGAAGTAGGATTAAGTCATACTGAATTAGATGGCTCTAGGTACCATTCTTTTACCACAATGCAATAAACATGCATACATTTATGCAGATTCTTCCTTATTTAATTTCTTCAAATATAATACAGGGCGATAGTATTTGGTGGCAACAGTTTGAAAAGTGAAGCGGACATTCAGAGTGATTCAACGGAAAATCGCAAAACGAAAACAATAGTCTTTCAGGGGCAGAGCCCCTTTGGACTAACAAATTCGAAATTCAAATCTCGTGCTTCCAGGTGCACATTTCGGGTGGAGGATTGAATTATTCAAAATTTAATGGCTCTAGATACCGTCGTTTTTTCACAGTGCGAGAAAAATACATACATACACGAAGATTATTCATTGTTTAATTTCTTTAAAAATAATACTAGGCGATATTATTTGGTGGCAAAAATTTTAAAAACGGTTCGCCGTTAAAGTGATTCGTCGCCGTGACCGACGCAGAATCCCATTTTGAGACTAATAGCCCCTTTTGGGTTAAAAAACACGACTGAATAACAAACCAATTTAGTTAACTAAACACTATTTACATACGGCAATTAAAATAAAATAAATGGCAGCTATTTATCCAAGTTGCAAAAATCTGGCAAATAAAAAATCATAACGATATTTTACAAGCGAAAGAATTTGAAAGCTGACCATTTAGAATAAGAAACGATTCAATGTAGAACAAAGTAAATGAGGAAGATTAAACAATATAAAAGCTCTACACTATGAAAATGGTAAATTCTTCTGAAAGCTTGTCAGATCTTCTGGCAAGCAACATGGACTTTAGTAAATCTACCTACTATTGTATCTTATAGTGTATTACGATTTACATTCCTAGAATTCAAAGAAAATGCGAAAGGCAATAAACGAAACATATTGTTACGGATTTTGCATTTAGTTAGATATTTTTAGTATAACTGTAATTAAAATTATATTATTTCCCCGTGCAATGCAGCGCGTGACGAGTTTTAAGAGAAAGCTACGCCGGAAAAGTAAAAATACAGGAGCACGCGCATTTAATAAATATATATCTCATAATTTATATTTAAATTGAATGAATGCAATTGTGTGTTAGCCGTAACCATAATTCTACTCTTTTGCTTTCCAGAAACCTCAAGAAAACAGAAATTACCAGGATGTTCTCGTGCATGATTAAAAAGCTTTAAAAAACCGAAGAAAAACATTTCAGTTCAATTTTTTACTAAGTTGTGGTTTACTCAGCTGCTGTAATTTTAAGATTGGATTAGCTTTCGCTGAGCTTTGAATTGTGTTTTAGTTAACATTTTAGTAGTTTAAAATATTGTTACGAATTTGGTATTTAAAAAGCTAATGTTAGTTCAATTATAAATTAAATGGTTTTATTTCTCGCGCAGTGCAGCGCGTGACGAATATTAAAAGAAAGCTAAGCCGGAAAATTGAAAATACAAGAGCGCGTGCATTAAATAAATAAATATCTCTTTTTGATTTCGAGAAAGTACTGGAAATTCTAGCGCGTGATTTTTAAAATCTTATAAAAAGGAGGAAACATCTCAGTTTGTAGTAGTTGCTTAGTTTGTTGTTGTTTAGAAAACTGCTCTTGTTGATTGTAGCGAATTCGCGGATTAGCTTTCTTTAGCTGTTTTGAATTACGTTCTATTGGACATTTGAGTAGTTAAAAGATAACTACTGTGAGATATTGTAATACTGCATGATAATTTGAGAAGATTTAAGCATTTTTGTTGTGAAAATAATAAATTTTTGTTCATTTTTCATCGGACTTGTGCATTCATTTCGTAAGGAACCCGTACGCACGCAACAATATTACTACTGTGTGATACTGTGATACTGTACGAATATTTGTGAGGAAAATTTCAGCATTTTGTTTTATTTCTTGTGATAAGAATAAATTTTATTAACTTTTGCATTCAATCTATTACGAACCCGTATGCACGCAACAATATATAGAATTACCTACAAATTACTTAATGTTAAGGATATAATTACAGTTTGATATAAAAATTTAGACATGGCATAGCACTGAATTATAATTTTTAAATCTTTCTTTAACGCACGAACTTGTGAACCTGCTTCCTAACTTGTGAACTGGTGCAAAATTTATTTTTGGTCAAAATTGGTTTTGATGCAGCTCTCGTTCTCTTTACTGTAATTGAATAATCTAATCAACACCATATTATTTGGTAAGAATACTTTTTTTTTTCTCTTTTCTTTGACAAAATAGTACAAAAGTGTTTTTTAAAATTAACATAGCATCATTTATTATTTTTCACGAACGACCTTAAACCCTTAACCAAACCTAATACAGCACTTTTAAATTTCAGTTTGAAAATTTCAGATATATGTATGCATCCTGAATTGGATATATTACATATAAATTATGTATAAATATAGAATTGGATATTTACAAATTCTTTCATTTAATGATGGATTTCTTCGTGTTCTAAATCTTTTCAGATGTGAGCTGTCTGAAATGCCACCAATGCTTTTGGAGCGAGATTACAGACGATTTCAAGATCCAGGATAGATTGAAGAAATTGGAAGATCGGAAGTATCCCGTTGCCGAACCTTTCATCGGCATGAAAATACAACGTCCACCAAACAAAACCGAAGTCATGAGCAATTGCCCTGTGGTGACTTGCAAATACGAGTCAGACAGTTGTCTCAAGTGGAGTTTTGTCTCTAATAGTAAGTTGGCTTTAAAAACAATCTCAGTTCAGCCTACTTCTAATTTAACAGAATATATTGTGGACGACATCCCGACTATCCAAGAAATTTAAAAAAAGGGAGCAAATTGGGGAGGAAGAAGAAACTGAAAGGATTAAGATTTTAAAGTCGCAACTGGTTCGACTTTCTCATATACAGGAAATATCTGACAAAATTGTAGGCAGAAGAACCCAAATTAGAGCTATTTTGCAAATATGCCCCAATGGCGCGTTAAAGGTGGTGCAGAGCGCTGTTGAATCAGTAGTATAAGCGGTCTGCTGGCGTGTACTCAGTGCGGATTTTGAGTGTTGCGCATCGCTACACGAAAGCGGAGCTCATTTCATCTGTAGAGCTGCAGACCGAGACAGAGCAGCTGCTCAAAAGAAATACACTGTGGGGGGGGTGAAGTACATTTCTACATCTCCTGTTCTACTGGGCCGATTGACAAAATTCAACTTGCATTTTTTATGTCTCGAAAGAGCGACTTAAGATATGTATTAGATTTATATTCAGCATTGTTCTAATATAGGTATTTTGACACAAAATCGGACTTTTCGTGAAATGACATGCCAATTTTTTTTTCCATATTTCGATTCTAAGACTGAAATTACGCCAAACTGCCAAGTCTTTAAAATTGCAAGAGCTGTTTTTAAAAAATTAGCTCTCAAAATTTTAGCTCCTCAATTTTAATTCATTTTGGTATATATTTATTATATCTAAACTTGATTGATTTTTCCTTTCACATTTCGAAATTTAGGTTCATTCCAAATAAAATTCGTCCTTTCTTTATGATTTATTTTTAAAATTTGTATTTTTAAATAATTTCTATAAATTTTTCAAAACAAAATTGAATTATAAGCTATAAAATTTTTACCATCATCTTAAAGTAGACGTATTTCTAAGCAGATCTGCAAAAAAATACAATTTTTATTCAAAATTTCCAAAGATATAAGTGAATTTATATAGCGACGCGTTTTAAAACTTGGCATACTTGTTAAAAGCAATAATAACATCAAATGTGATTTAGGCACTTTGTTAAAATTATTTGGAAGTAATAACGATGTGACTTCTTTCCCGCTTCTGCACAATGGAAGGGAAAGGAAAATAGATTTCTATATATTAAGAAGTTCGCTAAGTGAATTATTCTTGGCGCAAACTGAAAAAATTCACCAAGATAAATTTTTGAATTTCTCCGTAAATTTCGCACCAAATTTTATAAAATTTAATATTTAGGCATAATTTGAATCGTAGAATCGAAATATGGAAAACAATTGGTATGTTATTTCAGAAAAAGTCCGATTTTGTGTCAAAATACCCATGTTAGAACAATGCCATATATAAATCTAATATATAGCCTAAGTAACGCTTTCGAGACATGAAAAACGCAATTTGAACTCCATCAATCGGGCCATTAGAACGGGAGATATAGAACTGTCCCATTTTTTTTTCGCAGAGTACATGGTAATGGTTCATTGTACCTTTTAGTGGCTGATACGTTTCAACCATAATCCCCAAAATAAAACTCATGTCGGTGAGCTTCGCGTTCATGTAGAGATGCATGCATTTCGAAACCTACATAAAATGACAATGTCTATGTGAAAGGTTGAATATTTTTATTTTCCACTTAGTAGCGCCTTGTACCACCTCAAAGTGCCATTCTGGCACACACATTTCGTCACAAAATGTGCTATATCTTTACACTTTTGCCAAATATTTTCCAATATATATATTGAAAATAATCTTTATAAGCGATATCGTTTGAAAAGCAATCATTCGACAATATGATATTTTTGAACAAAAACGAATACACCACAAAAGTGAGAAAAAGCTATAAGCATTGCTGTCCATGTGCTATTATTTGAAAAAAGATACACTATAAAAGTGAAAGTTCAAAGTAAAAGTTATAAGCGTTATATTTTATCCTCCGAAGACTAAACATTCATCAAAATGTTACGTTTGAATGTTACAGCGTCTCGTTCTCTTTAACATAAACTAACGAGACCTAAAAGACTGTATATAGGGTTTTAATTACGACAAAAAAGTCAGAAGAAGGGTGTAAAGAGCCCTTTATTCATTCAATATAATTTCACAGATGGCCTCACTTGGACGTACACAGAGCCAATACTTCTGGCTTAACTCAAAACAGGTAACAATAAACCTAAAATAAAATATAGTAAGTTTAGCCAAATTTTCGAAAATCTATTGACTGAGTTTAAAACAGGGATGGGCAAACTACGGCCTGCGGATAGAACTTTAATTTGCCGGTACGAGGCAAATTAAAAGAAATACATATTTATATATTACGTATCCATCTTCTTTTCTACTTTATTTAAATATGATATTTTTCCTTTTTTTCAAAGGACTGATGATCTTTTAACTTTATCTATTTTTGTTCTACAATACATAAATCGACGGAAATAGCAAGCACAGACAGCTTTTAATAGGTAAAGTATTAAATTTGGAACTTCTTTGTTAGTTATAGCTGTAGACTGGCGCCAACAAGCGTTATCTCTTTCTCGGGGAGCAGACATATGGGAATCCAATATAGGTGAATTAGCTATCACATGTGGCAGACTGCGCATTTTAAGCTCCAACCAGCCGCTTTTTCTTTTGGCGCGAGTTCTTATATTATTGACTGTCTATGGAAAGATTGCGGACATATAGCATCATTGCGAATAGTTGGGTTTTTTGTAAAATATTTCAACCCCAAAATGGCTACTAAAAACGTAAAATTGATTCAGAGTGCCGTGCTTTCATTGATGAATGGACCTGGAAATATTTTTTTACAGTTGTAAAAGATAAACCAGTGTGTCTCATCTGCAGTGAAGCTGTAGCAGTCTTCAAAGAATATAACATTTCTCGTCATTTCACGTCTAAGCATAAGTATTCCAATTACGAAGCAATGTCTGAATATGGAAGAAAACAAGATGCAGAAAGTCTTTGTAAAAATTATCAGGCCGACAAAATTTTTCCAAGAAAGTAAACAGTAGCTAAGAACAGCTACACATGCAAGTTACATTGTAGCATATAACATTGCTAAAAATAATAAAGCTCTCAATGATAGGAAGTTCGTTAATTCATGCTCCAAGTTTGTGATGTTTTATATCCAGAAAAGAAAAATAATTTTGATACTGTAAGCTTATCTCGAAAAAGGTGACTTCTAGAATCGAAGACATTGATACAAATTTGACATCACAATTACAGTCAAAGCTTGGCCAGTTTAAATTTTGCTCCATAGCTATGAATGAAAGCACTGATATAAATGATACTGCTTCAATTAGTATTATTTATAAGAGGTGTTGATGAGAACTTTGAAATTACCGAGAAACTGGCGTTCATGCGTTTTTTAAAGGGAACTATAACGAGATGTGATATTTTTCATGAATTTCAGGAAGGGCTTTTAACTTTGAAAGTGCCTAAAACAAATACATGTAATATTACGACCGATGGAGCAACAAATATGAGAGGAAAAAAAATATGGATATCTTGAACTCGTTAATCAAAACTATCTCGGGAACAATATTGTTGTTCTACATTGTGTTATACATCAAGATGCTCTGTGTAAATCTGCACTGAATATGAAACCCGTGTTTGATACAGTCGTGAATCTTCTAAATACTATTTGGTCTCGGCTTACTCACAGGCAATTTCGAGATTTTCTTCAATCTGTGAAATCTTAAAAATCTGATGTGCTATATTACACGAAAGTAAGGTGGCTTAGTGCAGGATGTTTTCGAGTGAGTTTGGCAGCTGAAAGAAGACAATGTGTTCTTAACCTTAGAAAGAATTATTTCAGAAGTAGATTGGCATTTAGCCTCGAGCTTTTAGCCTCGTTCCTTAGAATCAGTACATTTCACTTCGATCCTCAATATAAGGAACTTTAAAAAATGAAATAGCAATTTCATTCATCTCATTAACATATTAAATTGTAATACTTGTATATTGTTTTTAAAATTTTAGAAAAATTTATCTTGGCCCAACAAAGTTTTTTTTTTTTTTTTTTTTTTTTTTTTTTTTTTTTTTTCCCTCGATTTTTGGCCCGCGACCGAAAATGTTTGTCCATCCCTAGTTTAAGAGATTAACCTCCTGAATTGAGTATAATGTACATGGCCTTTAGCTGAGATACGGACTTATTTATCTCCTTCGAAATGCTTACATTTTTACAAAAGTAAATTATGTTCTGTAATGACGTTTTTATGATACCCTAAAGTTAAAGGTTCAGTGTTAGAAGTTGTACCTTCAAGAAGAGACACTGATGGTTTTCAGAAAGGGATCAGAGATGTATATGCTATACAGTTATCTAATTAATAAAGCTACTTTTTTCATTTTTTCTATTCGCAATTTCATTTAAAAACAAAATCGGTAAAATTACCGTTTATCATCCATGAGTTCTGGTTGCTGCAGTAAGTTTGAACTAAATTCTTAACTCCTTCCGAACATTGAGGTTTTCTGTTTTCCTCAATAACCCTGCCTTCTCCTTAATAGTAAATAAAACAGTAATTTATTCCGTCAGTTTAAACAAATTGCTGTTTCACTTTTAAAAATTAATATGTATTCTGATAGTATTCTATAAAGCAATCCAGTTTCGTCTGTACTATTAATTTCGTGTGACTTGTATTCATTTA